CAAAACAACTTAGTGCAATGAGATTTGGCTTAGGAGTTTTGTGAACAATTGAACTTCATCATTAATGCATGTTTAGGTTGTTTGGGTTTGCAAAGAGATTCGAAACTCTGTGATTTAGACATAGATAACTTCTGCAATGAGAATTGATTAGTTATATCTTTGTGTTTCATATTCTAGACAGTTTTAATTCATTCCTGATTACATGCATTCTACACTCTCGGATTCAACCTGTGAATTGCCTTGACTTAGCGCCTTTAGCCTTCTGAACTTTAAGAACAAGCATAAAACCGCCCTCTTGCATTTATTTTGCTGTTTTGCTTTACATTCATTATTTATTGCTTAGCTTAATCTGCATCTATAATCGCTATTGTGGTTTACATACTCTCTTGGGATTCGATAACCCCTTGTGCTACTGCATTGCTGTGCACTTGCAGTAGATTTATTTTGGTAAAACCTGAGCCCTATAAATAGTTCTAGCCTCGGAGTAGGATGACAAGCGATGGGGCGTATGTCCGCCCAGAAGGTGTATGAGAAAGTCTTTCAGGAAGGTCTTTCCATGGCGGGTCTCGAGCTAGAGAGGAAGGGCTTGGCCATCATCGTGAATTGGGCCAGCCACCATCGATTCCAGGTAACCAAACTCATCCCCTGCTTTTCGCTTATGTGCTTAATGATGTCGGTTGGTGATTTCCCGATTCCACATTTTTTGTACGCCAACATCATGAATGCGCACCTAGCCGCATATGCATCTGTTCTTCACGGCGAGTCTGTTCGAGCCTGCATATCGCTTGATCGGGCTGACGAGGAGGACAAGCCTTTTGGAGGACGAGGTGTCAGAGGCAGGTAATCTGCATGTCAAGATGGAGGAGCTCCGGACTAAGGTTTCCGAGGAGAGATCTGGGGCTGCCAAGGCAGAGGAGCTCGCCGAAAAACCGCGTCTTGAGCTCGACACTCTCATCTCCGCTCGAGAGTTGAGAATAGAGATGCTAACGAGCTGTGGCGCCCTCACGGCCATTCAGGGGTGCCAGAGGAGCGGCCTAGAGTGTTGGGACGAGGAAAGTCTTCGGGAGGTGTATCAGGCTGCAGCAGAGGAGGCTCGTGCTGCGAAGGCTGTGGTATTCATTTTAGAGGACGTGGCCATGTCCCTTACCCCGTTTCTTTGTGCGGCTGCCCTGGCTAAGACTGGCGCTGCTGGTATTTTTCATGTGTGTTACAAGAACTTATACCATGTGCTGATTAAAAGATGATGATTCTTTAAAATTATATATACATCGGTAGCTTAATCGCCAAAATCCTGAAACTCTATTCTGTAACGTTTATATCATCAACAAAGTTTTTGAATGTAGATAATCATTTGATAATATATGTATTACTGTCGTAGTTGGTCTTCCAACAATGACGAAATAATAAGTGCATGATTGTTTAATTTCATGTGTCTAGTTGATAGTTCCCTAATTGTATATTAATACTTTTTAATGAATATATGTTGCTTATTGACATTCTAATAACTATAGAATAATTTGGAGGTCATTTTTCGTAAATGTTCGGAAAGAAACATAAAACCATTCATTGCATAAAATAAAATGTGCGTGTGGATGTATGATTGAATTAGCGTGTGGATATCTACGCATCTGAGTGTTGAGGTTCGAGAACCGAAAACTAGATGAAGGTTGATGCACTGATCGTTGCATGCTGACATAATGTCTTTAGAAACGAGGTCCAAAAACTAGACTTAGAGTTTTAAAATGTAGAAAACAAAAAAAAACTTATTTTTCTCTTGTGACAAATCTAATAGTTGATGACTTGCTTACACGGTAGAAATCAAGAAAATTTGAAGTCCGGGCATCGATGAGATGTTACGTTGCAAAATATTATCAAAGGTACGGATCACATAAGTTTGATTTTGTTGAGGATATGTCGTGCACAAACCCAGTTCTTTTACAAGTAAAAGAAATTTCTAAAACATATTTATAACATATAAGAGCAACATATAGTGTTTGGATTATTTTGATTACCTTAAATTATTTGATTCTAAATTAAATAATTTAGTAGTAGAAATAAAACTGTAAAAATATACAAGTGGATAAAACCAATGGGGAATGATATGAGTATATCTAGCTGAATTGTTAACCGTCATCCTTAAATTGTGAGTCCATTATGCAAGTTAGCAGAAGAAGTAAATGAGACATGTCGATACGGCTGATAGGACACATAATTTTCTGACCTACATTTCGAGAAATTGATATTTTTATAAGTGCTATATATTGCTTTAGGTTTGAGTTGTAGTACCAATTTGAAATAAGATTGTTGGGTGCTTTTAGGCTAGACTGCTCTTAACTCACCACCACAATTTACTCCAAACCATAAGAATTATGGTTTTGGTTGTTTAGCATGTGTACTCTATACCATTCAAAGACAATATAACATGTGAATTCAGTACTTTAAATTAATATACTATTAAATTTTGAATCATGTACTTTATTGCAAGAGTATGGTTGTAAAGATGATATTGATACTGGTGTTCCATATGACTTAATATATTTAGTTAAATATAATATGATTTTAGAGACATTTATATTGGCATATAAATGGTTAAGTGAAAAAGATTGTTTTCGACAAATAATTAAAAAAAAACTTTTAATGTCACTTACTAGGTTCTGAAAAGGAGTTACTCTTGGAGAGGTGGAAGCTAAAAGATAATAATTTGAGAAATGACGTAAATGTTGAGAAAATAGTGAACCAATTGCATCAAACCTTTATTGTAAGCAAGTGCTGGTAGACATGATGCTGGTGGTGTTGGCATTGTTGTTGCTGTCAACAATGAATACAAAAATTGAATTATAAGCAGTCACTATAAGTAGCTAGGTTAGATTTATTGTTGTATGTCAAATGGTAGGAATATACCAATTTAAGTGCTTTTAGGATAACAATATCTAACTAAATCGTATTGTTGAGAGGACACTAAACAGTTGTTTTTTGTCTATTGTACAGATATAGATCAATCCAACAAACTCTATTATACATGTTCCAGTTTGTACTGTTAATAAATTTTACACACTATCCTATACATCATCCATATCCAACAGTTTTGTGATTAATATATCTAAACTATAGAAAATTCATGGAGAAGGATTGAAATATACCATTAATGGAATCATAAACTCTGGCGACTCGAAAAACTAAAAATATTCAACATTGGCATTTCGCTGCTATGGAACGTATTATTTTAAGAAAACATGGTTGTTGATATCTTTAGTAGATAAGCAAGAGTCATTATATACTAAATAAGAGGTTGAAAATGAAAAACCTAAATCTAAAAATCTTATGTGGCATATTAATTTCTTTTCAAATTTTATACTATTTGATATAAAATTATTTATCAAAAATAACAGTAGATAATTCTCAAAAAAAGACAAAACGATGTAAGTGAATAATTGTCTTTTTAGAGAATTATTTACTATTACTATAATAGTTTTTCGAGTCGCCGAAGCTACTGATTTCAGTAATGGTATATTTCAATCGTTCTCTACTAAATTTCTTTTGTTCAGATTTATTAATCACAAAACTGTTGGATATGGATGATGTATAGGATAGTGTGTAAAAACATAAGCAGTACAAACTGAAAAACGTATAATAGAGTTGGTTGGATTTATCTATATCTGTACAATAGATAAAAAAAACAATTGTTTAGCATCCCGTCAACAATCTGATGTTAGTTACATATCATTATCACAAAAGCACTTAAATTGGTATATTCCTGCCTTTTGATATACACCAATAAATCTAATCTAGCTACTTATAGTGACTGCTAATAATTCAATTTTTATATTTATCATTGGTTGCAACAACAATGCTAATACCACCAGCAGTATGTCTATCAGCACCGGCAACAACAACGACAAGGAAGTTTTGATGCAATTGGTTCACTATTTTCTCAATATTTGTGTCATTTCTCAAATTATAATTTTTTAGCTTCCATCGCCCTATGAGTAACTATTTCTCAGAACCAAGTACGAGTTCTCAAGTTCTCAAGTTCTCAAGTTCTCAAGCATCTCTCCTCAGTTGGAATATTCGGTTTGAAAGGTTCAAAGGACTTGACCTGGCTGCTTTTTGCTCAAAATATCAGGTACCTAACTGTTAGGAATTCACCAAGGATAGTAGAAATAATCAATAGAGAGAAAGGAATTAGTATTAGCAATGTGCATCCCGATATTGTTGCTCCCTTCGGGATCCTTGAATCCCTTAGCCTAGGTGGTTTAAATGAATTAAAGAAAATTTTCTCGAATCCTCTGGATTTTCCAAACTGGAGAAAATTTGCTATCGAGAACTGCCCAAATCTGCCCAATGTTGCCACTGAGATTCCAAACTTAAGAAAGTTTGGAAGATAAAAGATATTTCATATGTGTGAGTCTGAATGTATCCCTTCAGTTCTTAATTTGGTTGGGTTTTATGTGCTGCTTTTCCTTGACTTTGTTGTCAACTTGCATTTCTCAAAGTTGGCAACTTTAATTTAGTGACTTGTTTGGTGTGTTCTATATGTATCTCGTCCACTTTAAAAGCGGTAGCTTTTAAGTTGAGTTACGGATTCTACCTATATGATCAGACTCAAAGAAGAAGTAAAACTGATACATAAACAATATAGATGCGAGGCTTTTTTTTACAGATAACAAAACAGCATTCTCAAAACAAAAAGAAACAAATGACTCGAGGACACAGTTTCACAACGTTGTTCAAATCGATATCGAGATGACTACACAACCCATTTAGAGCCATTTACCTAACATAACATGAATTTAATGACATATTAAGAGTATTTACATTAGTTCTTGACAAAAAATTCAGCTGATGTATTTGATATGGAGAGGGAGTAAAAATAAAAGCCGAAGACCTTTGGAATCAAGTGTTATTAAAAATTCCAGAAGAAAAATTCAGAAACTGATGTTGAAATAACAGTGGAACCTACATGACAGCAACGGTTGTGGTTCACATATTTCTCTCAGTCAATGCAACGGTTAGTCTTTACACTATATTTCTTAAAAAGGCTTTGTGATCTTAAATCTTCTCTCTTCCACAAGAATGGAACTTTATCTTTATCTTGGTACTGTTGCTACTACAATCTTCATACTTTTGGGTACAATATTGATCTGTATGGTTTATGGAAAATCAGAGACCAAGAAAACAAAATAATTTCTTCTCCTCCAACTCCGGAACCTTCATTTTCTTGCAGCCGGAAGCACGATGTCTTCTCATGTTTCCACGGGGCAGATGTGTGCAAGGCCTTTCTCAGTCACATTTTGAAAGAGTTTCAGAATAAAGGGGATCGACATATTCATTGATAGTAATATCCAGAGTAGCAAGTCGATCGATCAAGAACTCCAAGAAGCAATCAGAGTATCCAAGATTGCGATTGTCTTGCTCTCCAAAGACTACGCTTCGTCGTCCTGGTTCCTGGATGAATCGGCTGAGATCATGAGGTGCAGAAAAGAATTGGATCAAATAGTGATGGCCATTTTCTATCAAGTAAATCCAACTAAGCAAACCGGATATTTTGGGAAAGTTTTCAGAAAAACTCGTATGGATAAAACAAAAAACGGCATTAGGAGATGGAGAGAGGCTTTGGCCGAAGTTGCCACAATCGCTGGAGAGCATTTAAACAACTGGTTAGTTTTTTTTTTTTACTACTGAATTTAATTTTAGAAAAAGAAATAAACAATTATGGTAATTTTGAAAACAAATACTACTGAAGATATTTTTGAAACAAAAACTTTTTTAATAGTATTTTTGAGAATTGCCTTTTTAATAATATCCAGCAAAACAATGCATATATATTAATTCCTAAAATGACTATATAGTATTTAATTGACAAATTCTATTTGATCTTACCTTTGATAGGAATAATGAAGCGGCCATGATCGAAAAAATCTTAATTGATATTTCGAACAAGTTGAATAATTCAACATCATTAAGGGATTTTGACGGCTTAGTTTTTATGAGAGGTCATTTTGAAAATATGGCAATGTTGCTGTGCTTAGACTCAGATGAAGTGAGGATGATATGGATTTGGGGTCCTCCGGGATCGGTAAAATCACCATAGCCAGATTTCTGTATAACATACTCCCCACTAGTTTTCAGCTAAGCGTCTTTATGGAGAATATCAAAGCAATTTATACAAGACCAGCTTGTTCAGATAACTACAGTGCGAAATTGAAACTACGACAACAGTTTATGTCAAAAATAATCAATCATGAAGATATAGAGATTCCTCACTTACGCGTTGCAGAAGAACATTTGAATAACAAGAAAGTGCCTGTCATTCTTGATGACGTGGATCAGTTAGTACAACTAGATGCCTTGGCAAAAGAAACTCGGTGGTTTGGTCCTAGAAGCCGGATTCTCATCACAACACAAGATCTTGAACTTTTGAAGGCACATAGGATCGACCATGTTTACAAGGTGGACCTTCCAGAAACCGATGAAGCTCTACAAATCTTCTGCATGTATGTTTTTAATCAACAATCCCCACAAGACGGTTTGACAAGCTTCGGAGGGAAGTTATGAGACTTGTCCATGAGCTCCCTTTGGGATTAAGGGTCATGGGCTCCTATTTCCAAGAAATGTCAAAGCATGAGTGGAAAAAGGCATTACCTAGATTAAGGACTCGCCTTAATGGAAATATTGAGAGCATTTTGAAGTTCAGCTATGATGCATTATATGATGAAGATAAAGATTTGTTTCTTCATATAGCATGTTTTTTCAACCGTGAAAATATAGAGACACTGGAAGATTATATTGGGGAGACGTTCTGATATGATAGGGGATAGCACGGTAGCTGCAGAACCAGAGGAGGAACCGGAGATAGTAGGGAGGATCACTCGTTCCAGAGCTAAGGAGCTGGCTAAGGAAGTTCATGCACTTATGGCAGAAGGATTATGCAACCTACCAGCTATTCAAGTTTTCAACATCTTCAACCAGAAGACTCCACCCGGTAATGATAACTAAGTAACTTAGGTGAGGAGTCTGTACTCTTTTTCCCATGATGAGTTTTGTCCCATTGGGTTTTCTCAACATGGTTTTTAATGAGGCAGATGAATCACTACGTCAAGTTACTTAGGAGTCATTGCCAATGGGTAATAAATGTATGAGCTACTTTGGCCTTATACTTAGTATTTTCAGGCGCACCAATTAGGATTCTAAGGAATGGGACGCCTTGTTGTTTTATTCTTTACTTTGAACGCTTTGTTGTTTTCTTTCTTAGACGCCATGCTGTTTGGTTTTTAGGGTAGTATAAGATTTGTATTACGCCCCTTTTGTAAATCAGCGAAGAACTAAGTGTTAAACAAACAGCCATTGCTGCATTTCTTCTCTCACCCTTTGATCTCTTGAATGTGTTCTTGTGGATCCGAGTTTCTATTCACCAAGTATCCTTGAAACTCTACTATCTGTTACTCCCATTTTATCACTTAAATCGTTCCATTAAACCCTTAATACCATTCTAATCTCACTCTACACTATCACTTCCCCTTTCACACGATCATCATCACCATTTCGCAATCATCATTTGATCTTCCTCAGCCTATCTTCAGAGTAGTTCCAGGGGAGATCGTGTCATGTGGTATCAGAGCCAACTCTGAACCAAAGGCTGAGAAACCCTAAACCCCTCTTTTTCCTTTTCTTTGTTTAATCGATTGTCCTAAGAGTCTTAGGTTTGCCTTTTTGTTGTTTCATAAAAGTTAGCGTTTAGTTTCGATTTCCTAATAGCAATAGGTTGTGTGTTCGTTTCCCTAATAGTTTTAGGAGTTGTATTTCTTTCTTTAAGCAATCTTAAAAACTTGTTATCTTGAGAACTTTTTACTTTGATTGTTGTTTTGATTGTCTCAGGTACCATGGAGCTTTCAGCAGAAGCCATGGAAGCTCTGAATCAAGCCATGGCGCAACAAATCAAAGAAGCTAATCAGTCAGTTGCTACTCAGCTGATGCAACAGATAGAGCAGCTCAACGACAAGTTTGAGACTCGGTTCAAGGATTTTCTGAAAGAGAACAGTGCTGCAGAAAGTGATTCATCAGAACCGCCCAGCCCTAGTGAAGCAATCCGCCCTGCCAAAGGAAAAGCACACATGGGAGCTTCTTCTAAACAACCCAGAGCTAACACTACAAGAACACCAGTTGGAAGGAGAGAAACCAGTGTAAACCGGCGAAGGAATGCTGAGGGAACAGAGAGAGAGAGACACAGAGCTGCTAGAACATCTCCACACCTCCGAGCTGAGAACATTGGTGGGCGTAGAGTTTATGTGGAGACAGAACCTGGATCTTCTGAAGGAGAAGAGAGATCAGACAATAGCTTTAATACTGTGAGGAGAGGTAGGAACAGAGGAAGTAACCGAGATTATGACCCATTGAAACAACAGCTGAATCACCTTAAGATTCAGTTTCCTTCCTTCCACGGTAATAATGATCCGGAAGTTTACTTAGATTGGAAAGAAAGATGGAATCAAACTTCTTGGTTCAAGGCACCTATGAGCTCAACAAGGTGAAGATAGCTGTTTCAGAGTTCAATGGCTATGCACTCTTGTGGTGGGAGCAGTTGGGAGTCACTAGAGAGAGGCATCACGAACTTCCTATTACCACCTGGGGTCAACTAACCACGCAGATGAGGAGGAAGTTTGTTCCTGCACACTATCAGAGAGAGATTCTCAACAAACTTAGGCGCCTCATACAAGGAACAAAGTCTGTTCGAGAGTACTACCAAGAGCTGGAAACCTTGATGATTAGAGCCGATTTGAGAGAAGGAGAAGACATGGTGATGTCTAGGTTCTTGGGAGGACTTAACAGAGAGATTCAAGACAAGGTTGAGCTACAGAACTATGAGGATGTGCAAGAAATGGTGCATAAGGCAGAACTGATTGAAGCACAGATCAAGAGGAGAATTGGCAGACCAACCTTCACCTCTAACATACCAAAACCGAAAGAGTTCAACAAGTCAATCTCTACCCAGAACACAAAACCGGCTACAACAACAATCAAGGAGGAGATTAAAACCGAGTTTAAACCAAGAGGAACTTCTACTAGCAATGTCAGATGCTTCAAGTGTCAAGGTATGGGACATTACTCCAGAGATTGTCCTAATAAGAAGATGTTTTTGCTGCAAGAGGGAGGAGACATCGTACCTCAAGACAGTTCAGAGAGTGAATCAGATGCTAGTACAGAAGGAGAAGAAGAAGCAGCAGCAGTTGGAGAGATGCTAGTAGCATGCAGGGCTTTGAGTGTTCAGGTGCATCCAGATGATAGAGGTCAGAGAGAGAATCTCTTTCACACCAGATGTGTAGTTCAGGACAAGGTCTGCACCTTGATTATAGATGGGGGAAGTTGCACTAATGCCGCCAGTGAAGAGATGGTAAAGAAGCTTAATCTTAAAACCACTTCACATCCTAGACCTTACAAGCTGCAGTGGTTGGACAACAAAGGAGCCATCACCGTTTCTCAACAAGTGCTTGTCAAGCTAGCCATTGGGAAGTATGAAGATGAACTCCTTTGTGATGTGGTTCCTATGAGGTCTAGTCATATGTTGTTAGGGAGACCATGGCAGTATGATAGGAGAGTTATTCATGATGGCTACACCAACAAGCAGACTTTTGAATTTAAGGGGCGCAAGGTCACTCTTCTACCACTTTCCCCCAGCGAAATCTACCAAGATCAAATTCACATGAACCGCAAAGACAAAGAGAAAGTCTCCAACAGTTTATACATCAACCACAGTGAGTTCAACAAGCTCTTTGATCCTGAGATGACCACTTTCATGTTTGTCTACAAAGAAACACTGGCTAGTACTAAACCGTTTGAGAAACTTCCCTATGAAGTGTAGAGATCATTGAGGAGTACAAGGATGTCTTTCCAGAAGAGATACCCCCAGGCTTACCCCCAACTCGCGGAATTGAGCATCAGATTGATCTAGTGCCAGGATCAGTGCTACCAAACAAGCCGGCTTACAGAACCAACCCTGTAGAGACTAAAGAGCTTCAGAAACAAGTAGAAGAGCTGATGAGTAAAGGATATATCAGAGAGATTCTCAGTCCATGTGCAGTACCAGTTCTGTTGGTTCCTAAGAAAGATGGAACATGGAGGATGTGTGTAGACTGCAGAGCAATCAACAACATCACAGTGAAGTACAGACATCCTATTCCAAGATTAGATGATATGTTAGATGAGTTATGTGGGTCAACAGTGTTCTCCAAAATCGATTTGAAGAGTGGTTATCATCAGATCAGAATGAAGAACGGAGATGAGTGGAAGACTGCTTTCAAGACCAAGCAAGGGTTGTATGAGTGGTTAGTCATGCCGTTTGGTCTCACCAATGCTCCCAGTACCTTCATGCGTCTAATGAACCATGCCTTAAGACCATTCATTGGAGTTTTTGTAGTGGTCTACTTCGATGACATTCTCATCTACAACAAAGGTTTGGAGGAACATCTAGGGCACATCCGCCAAGTTCTGGATGTTCTTCGTTCTCAATCCCTTTTTGCTAACTTCTCTAAGTGTTCATTCTGTACTACTGAGGTTGTCTTTCTAGGCTTTGTTGTTAGTGCAGAAGGAGTGAGGGTTGATGAAGAGAAGATCAAAGCAATCAAAGAATGGCCTACGCCTAAGAGTGTTGGGGAAGTGAGAAGCTTTCATGGATTAGCAGGATTCTACAGAAGATTTGTTCCAAGCTTTAGCACCCTTGCTGCACCATTAACTGAAGTCATCAAGAAAGAAGTTGGTTTTAGATGGGAAGAAGCACAAGAACAGGCTTTCACGGCCCTTAAAGAGAAGCTTATCAATGCCCCTCTTTTAGTTCTTCCTGATTTCCTTAAAACTTTTGAAATTGAATGTGATGCTTCAGGAGTTGGAATCGGTGCTGTATTGATGCAGGATAGGAAACCAGTGGCATACTTCAGTGAGAAGCTAGGAGGATCAACCGCCAACTATCCAACCTATGACAAGGAACTCTATGCATTGGTTCGAGCTCTTCAAACGTGGCAGCACTACTTGTGGCCCAAGGAATTCGTCATTCATACAGATCATGAGTCTCTAAAGCACCTTAAAGGACAGCAGAAGCTCAACAAAAGGCACGCCAGATGGATGGAGTTCATAGAGACTTTTCCATACATCATTAAGTACAAGAAAGGTAAAGATAATGTAGTTGCAGATGCATTATCAAGGAGGTACACGCTTGTCTCTACCTTAACTTCCAAGCTTAATGGATTCGAACATATAGTAGATCTTTATGAGACTGACATTGATTTTGCTGAGAGCTATGGCAAGTGCTATAAGTTTGCTTTTGAAAAATATCATAGACAGGATGGATATCTGTTTTATAACAATCGCCTGTGCATACCACGAGGATCTGTAAGAGAGTTATTGGTGAGAGAAGCTCATGGAGGTGGATTAGCTGGACACTTTGGAGTCGCTAAGACTCTACTTGGACTGCAAGATCACTTTTATTGGCCATACATGAAGACAGACGTTGAGAGGATTTGTTCTAGGTGTGCAGTTTGTAAGATGGCAAAGAGTAAGGTGCAACCTCACGGTTTGTATACTCCTCTTCCTATTCCTTCTCAACCGTGGACTCATATTTCTATGGACTTTGTGCTTGGCTTACCTCGAACCAGAAATGGTAGAGATTCGATTTTTGTAGTTGTTGATAGGTTTAGTAAGATGGCACACTTCATTGCTAGTCATAAGACAGATGATGCTGTCTGTGTAGCTAACTTGTTTTTCAGGGAAGTAGTTCGTCTACATGGCATGCCTCAAGTAACAGTTTCAGACAGGGATACCAAGTTTCTAGGGCATTTCTGGAGAACATTATGGGCTAAACTAGGAACCAAGCTTCAATTCTCCACTACATGTCACCCTCAAACTGATGGACAAACCGAGGTGGTGAACAGAACATTGTCAAAACTTCTTAGAACGCTGGTCAAGAGTAACATCAAGTCATGGGAGGAGTGTCTACCACACGTGGAGTTTGCTTACAATCACGCTAAGCATTCTGCAACCCTCTTTTTCTCCTTTTGAAATTGTCTATGGCTTTAACCCACAATCACCTCTAGACTTGATCCCTTTGCCTCTAAGTGTGAAATGTAGTTTAGATGGAAAAGAAAAGGCAGAACAGGTGAGGAGGATACACGCCAAGGCTAAGGAGAATATAGAGAAGAAGACTAAGCAGTATGAGAAGCATGCAAACAAGGGCCAAAAGGAGTTAATCTTTGAGGAAGGAGACTTGGTGTGGATTCATTTGAGGAAAGACCGATTTCCAGAAGAGAGGAAGAGCAAGCTTATGCCAAGGATGGATGGACCATTCGAAGTCATCAAGAGGATCAACAACAATGCCTACCAGATTGATCTTCAAGGTAAGTATAATATATCTCCATCATTCAATGTCTCTGGCTTGCTTCCTTATGTTGCAGATACAGATTTGAGGACAAATCCCTTTCAAGAGGGAGAGGATGATATGATAGGGGATAGCACGGTAGCTGCAGAACCAGAGGAGGAACCGGAGATAGTAGGGAGGATCACTCGTTCCAGAGCTAAGGAGCTGGCTAAGGAAGTTCATGCACTTATGGCAGAAGGATTATGCAACCTACCAGCTATTCAAGTTTTCAACATCTTCAATCAGAAGACTCCACCCGGTAATGATAACTAAGTAACTTAGGTGAGGAGTCTGTACTCTTTTTCCCATGATGAGTTTTGTCCCATTGGGTTTTCTCAACGTGGTTTTTAATGAGGCAGATGAATCACTACGTCAAGTTACTTAGGAGTCATTGCCAATGGGTAATAAATGTATGAGCTACTTTGGCCTTATACTTAGTATTTTCAGGCGCACCAATTAGGATTCTAAGGAATGAGACGCCTTGTTGTTTTATTCTTTACTTTGAACGCTTTGTTGTTTTCTTTCTTAGACGCCATGCTGTTTGTTTTTTAGGGTAGTATAAGACTTGTATTACGCCCTTTTTGTAAATCAGCGAAGAACTAAGTGTTAAACAAACAGCCATTGCTGCATTTCTTCTCTCACCTTTTGATCTCTTGAATGTGTTCTTGTGGATCCGAGTTTCTATTCACCAAGTGTCCTTGAAACTCTACTATCTGTTACTCCCATTTTATCACTTAAATCGTTCCATTAAACCCTTAATACCATTCTAATCTCACTCTACACTATCACTTCCCCTTTCACACGATCATCATCACTATTTCGCAATCATCATTTGATCTTCATCAGCCTATCTTCAGAGTAGTTCCAGGGGAGATCGTGTCACGTTCTGGGATGTGGCACAAAGGTTTCACGTCTTAGCTGAGAAGTCTCTTATATCTATCATCTTGGGATATGTAGAGATGAATGATTTACTAGTACAACTTGGTAGATAAATTGTTCGTAAAGAATTTGTCCGAGAGCCTTGGCAAGGCCAATTTTTGGTTGATGCTAGAGATATTTTTGAAGTACTCGCCTATGATAATCCAGTAAGTTTTAGTCTTTCATCTGCATCACTCTCCATACAAACTGAGTTTAATTATTTGATAACGAACATTCTTAAATATTTTTTCACGGTGGTAGAAGTGTTATAGGAATAGATCTCAACTTCTTTCAGAATAAGGACGTATTAAATAAAAGTAAGAAAGGTTTTGAACGAGTGTCTAATCTCTATTATATCAGATTCAGAGATTTTGGTAACCGAGACAGACTGTGCTTACCTCAAGGTCTGACCTATATGCCTCGAAAACTTCGATCACTAAATTGGACTTTTTTTCCAATGACATGTTTGCCTTCTAAGTTAAATCCAAGTTTGAGAAGTTATGGGAAGGAAATCAAGTAAGTAAAACTATTTGGAATCTCTAAATTATTTTTTCGGGTACAATTATTTAGCTCAAAAAAATATTGCATCTATACTTTAAAAACGTATTTTCTAGGATTTGTTTCCTTTTAAATAAATAGATGTTTTAAGTTCTCTCTATATATTTTTCTGAGTTAATAATGATATATTGTAAATTTTAAGAAAAATATTTAAATTTATTGAATTACTATTGATTTAAACTCAAAGAGAAATGTTAAGCACAAAAAAATAATATATTTATTATTCAGTTTTAATATGTTTTTTTAATATGTGTAAAAACTTCAAAACATCTTTTTTTTTTTTAGGAATAGGAGGAATAGTTTTCGATATTTTTATAGAAATTTGTAGTTTGTTGGCATGGAGTTCATATAAATTTTGATATTGTCATGCTTGACTCGTTTCACTTACAGAAACTCGAGATTAGGACAGCTAGATAAGAATCTACCTACAGAGTCATCGTCTTTATAGCAAAGGTGAAGACTTTTCAGGGATGGGAAGGAAGCCGGAGAAGGAACATCCACGAAAATCTTGTGGGAAAGATTAAATACCACAAGAGATTTGCACAAGTAAAGGCTCTTAGGCAAGCTGACCGGATCTACGGGCCAACGAAGCTTGAAGATCCTCCACGTCGTGATTAACAGCGTTTGTAACCCACTTTACGACATCAGCATCAGTAGTGCACAGTGGACTTAATTCCATACATCAGCATCAGTAGGGCACCGTGTATTCTAGGTGCATTGTGCAATTGCATTGCTTTGTCAAGAAACCGCCAAACGCTCTTTTTGTTTTCTTCATGACCATTACCATCATCGTCATCCTCACAATCAGCACCAGCACCATCATCATCCTCATTCCCCAACTTCTTCATCATCATCATCATTATCATCATCGAAGTTGCTGTCTTCGTACTTGAGTTTACCTAACATCGTCTAAATAGAGAGCCATCGTTTCGACCGAAACATGGTGGCTACGGCGTCTTTTATTGGAACCAACGAAAATATCCTCAAAAGTAAATCTTCGGATAACTCACTAATCATGTCTTCACAAACTCTATCGTCAACTCTTCCGCAAGTTTTGACGGTTTGTGACATCTTTAGATCTTCACGAGTCACGAGATAGCTGAACCCTAATATTTAACGAAAGCAAAAACGAAAGTATTTCCCTATTGCAGTTTGCAAGTAATGGTTTTAAATGGTAACACAGTGTAAATAATACAGACCAACAGATTATGCAGACCAAGCATAACAAGTATAAATTAGATTTTAGATTTTAATTATTAATTATTAATTGTATGTGAATGGTGCAAAAATGCAGATTGTTTTGCATTACGAGTTTGGATGCATTGATTTTTCTTTCCCATTCAAAGCTTTAATTTTATAATCTACATTTAAAATGAAAGCCCTTTATATAAAACACAGAACATGATTACTTACAGATCTATATTATTGATACAATATTATTATTTATTTGATTGATATTTTTAATATATATATATTTTTTTAATATGTATTTATTATGCTTAATATACATAATCGGATTGATCTACATTTTTTGAATTGTATCATCATATAAGTCAATAAGAAACGGAGAGGAATATGTGGAAAAGAAAAAAGAATGAGAAAGATGAGTATTGAAGAAACTTATATAACTTATGTAATGAATTTTAGGGAATTAAACTATATATTAATGTTACTGTTAATACAATTGTAATGTCTTTACAAACATATGATCTTGTTTCTATTGTGCTCTTAATAATATATCAGAAACTTAAAAACAAATATATCTTTTAATAATAAAAATTAATGTTATATGCCTCTAAAGGTATTCATATAGGATTTAAAAGATTCAATTATGTTCGTACACATCATCATCTATAGTTAACTATATATATATATATATTCAAATTAATTAATTTTATTTTTATTGTTGATAGAAAATTTTCTAAATCTTAATTAATTTTGATTTATATTAAAATTAATTAATTTTGTTTTTATTGTTATTAGGAAATTATGTAAGTTTTATTTAATTTTGTTTTTGTTATTATTAGAAAAGTTTCTAAATTTTAAGATAGTTATTAATAATAAACAGTTTAGAAAGTAGAGAAATTAGATCTTATTTTTTATTAACAAAAAAGATAAATTAACATATTAATAAATTATTACAGAAAATTATATATATTCAACAAAATAATTAAAAACTGTTGTTCGGGAGCAAATTTCGGGATGCCGCGTGAGGATCTGGTTGGTTGTCGGACCTGCAGGGGAGATTTGAACTATAGGGGGGTGGGTCAGCCTGCAACGAGAGAACAAAGAGAGAGAGTCTCGATGAATAGAAAAGGGGTTGCTCTTCCGATTACGTTTCAACGCTCTAGTCAGAAAGGACACGTGACTAGACGAAATTTATAGAGATATCGGAAGAACTAAGAAACGGAGCGCTCTATCAACTCAGACAGATATTGATAGAGCTTTTAAGGACTTTAGTTATCTGGTGAAATGAAGCTAGAAGATCAAGTTATCGCTCTAGAAGTCTCCTCCCCTCGGTGGCGCGAGGAGTGGGTTTTATAGTGAATACTTGGTTTCGGGTCACACCCGGGTCTGAATCATTTAGTTCCCCGGGTCGGGTTCCTACTACCGTCCTTTGTCATCATATTCGACATGTCCGAACTCTTCCATGCGTGTAGTCAGAGTGGAGGTTGCCGAACTGCTCGCCTCTCCCTAACCGCCATCATTGCGGTCTTCTTTGGTAGACGCAGAGCAATTAATGCTCCTCGGGTTACCGCTGCTTCCGTTGCCCACGCGTTGGCCCCCGTGGGCCGTAATGACATTTTGCAGCCCAACAGTTGCCCCTGACTAGCGGAGCTCCTTCAGGAGGTTGGAAAGTCTATCATGCACATGAAATCTTTGATGGGTGAAAGGCCGCAAGGGGCAGGGTCAGAAATCATCTTTGCCATAGAGAAAATCTTGTTACGGTGGTGTAGTCGTTTTGTAAGACTCTATTTCCGGATCTTCCTGCGAGGATATCTCTGGAAAGTAATTCCCGGAGGAAGTTACCCAGAGGGCATGCCCCGGGAAGCTTTCTCGGAAAGACTATTCTGGAGGAAGTTCCCCGGAGGACGTGCCCTTGGAGGCTGTCTGGGAAAGACTATTCCCGGAGGATATTTCCCGGAAGGCGTGCCCCTGGAGATTGTCTTGGAAAGAGTATTCCTGGAGGCTGTCTTCGAAAGACTATTCCCGGAGGCTGTCTTGGAAAGACTATTCCCAGAGGAAGTACTCCGGAGGGCGTGCTCCTGGAGGTTGTCTCGGAAAGACTATTCCCAGAGAAATTTTCCCGGAGGGAGTGCCCCTAGAGGCTGTCCCAGAAAGACTGTTCCCGAATGAAGTTCCCTGGAGGGCGTGCTCCTGGAGGCTATCTCGGAAAGAATGTTCCCAGAGGAAGTTCTCCGGAGGGCGTGCCCGTAGAGGATGTCTCGGAAAGACTGTTTAAAAAAGGAAGTTCCCCGGATAACGTGCCCCTAGAGGCTGTCACGGAAAGACTATTCCCGGAGGGCGTGCCCCTGGAGGCTGTCTTAGAAAGACTGTTCCCGGAGGAAGTTCTCCGGTGGGCGTGCCCCTTGAGGCTGTCTAAAAAAGACTATTCCCGGAGGAAATTCCCTGCAGGGCGTGCCCTTGGAGGCTGTCTTGGAAAGACTATTGCCGGAGGAAGTTTCCCGGGGAGCGCGCCCCTGAAGGCTGTCTTAGAAAGACTATTCCCGAAGGACGTGCCCCTGGAGGCTATCTTGGAAAGACTGTTCCCGGAGGAAGTTTCCGAGAGGGTGTGCAATCTGTTTTCTTGGACCAAGACCCTAAATTTCTGGATTCTAGGCCCCACCCCAACCGATGCGCCATAGGTGGGTCCAAGTCTGCGGTTGAGGTCTCGTACAGCGAATGTCTGCCTTTATGAAGGGGAAAGATTTTTTGCATATTGGTCCTTGGATTTTCTTATCTTTCTTTAGCGGGCCACCTCGATTCCCACAAAATATCTGCCTTTTTTGCTAGGACTACGAGTTTGCTTTTGGCCCCTTCCTCTTATGTGTTGTCGATTATCCTCTTTCGCGAGCCGCTTTCTTCGTCGTGTCGATTCCGTGAATTTCTTTTCCTCTTCCTTTTGGTAAGATCCATTTCTTCTTCAATTCTTTGGTTGGTTTATGCCGTGAATGTCTATGTCGGGTGGGACGAGATCTTCCAGATCCAAAGGTGGATGCTCCTATCTTCCTATCGATCGTCGAGATGAACCACTGCTACTTGGGTATGGGGTCGATGATCCCATCCCATTGTCTTCTGCATATCCTTGCGTCGAGACGTGCGGCAAATGTCCTTCTGAGACTCTGGGGGCGGTTCTGTTACCAAGAACTCGGCCACTGATTGGTGAGCCTTGCAGGAGTCACTTCGACTGCCTAGTTCGCTGTCACTGGTTTTTTACCGTTATGTCCCCGATTCTCGACCTCCTCCTGGTTGTATTATGCCTTACGCCGGTTAGTGGTCAAATGGCCTTCAATGCTACGTGCCGACTGTCTTGGTCAATTTCTGTCTTCTGGGCAGTATTAGCCCTAGCCAATTGGTTCCCGCCGCATGGGGAATTTTGAGTTTGTTTCAGGTTTTGAGCGACTTATTTGGGTTACCTATCCCCTCCAAGGCCATCAGAGCCATCTATTATCCTAGAAAGAGCATCGTGTTTGACCCCTTGCAGCAAAACCTCATTTCGCGCCGAGAGAGTTTGCTGATCTTCTCCACTACTCTGGGCAATGATTGGGGTTGGACGGAGCGCTTCTGTTTCTAGAGGGTTAATCGTGTAGGGTCTATGGGCGTCGTGTGGAGGGAACCCGGTAGGTGCTTCCCTCCCTTTCTTTAAGCAGCTTTTTAACTGATTAATTAACTATTTCTTCGCAGGATCCTGGGAATCAGGGTATGTTGCTGATTTAGAGAGACATATTGTAGGGATTCCGATCGAGTTTTGGAGCTAGTCGTGTATGCTTTCAGAGCGTTGTCTCGCCGCCAGCCCTCTTTGCATGTGAATTATTCTTATGTTCCTCCGCTTCGCTTGAAACGGACCATTTGGAAGCGCTCCGCTGATGGCAGCCCTTTTGGGGGAGTAACTCCCCGGCGTCGTATTCTTCCGAGGATATCGCGGCTTCTTCTTCTTCTTTCTAGGCGCGCATCCCTCATTCCCTGCGGGTGGACAAGGGTGATGGGGCTGAGATTCTTTGGGAGGGTTCTAACCCGAAGGTGAGCCCTTCCACACCTTCCCATCTCGGGGGTCACAGACCTGTTTTGGGGGCGAAGGTTCCGGCCTTGGAGGAGGATGACAAGCGATGGAGCATATCTCCGCCCAGAAGGTGTATGAGAAAGTCGTTCAGGAAGGTCTTTCCTTGGCGGGTCTCGAGCTAGAAAGGGAGGGCTTGGCCATCGTCGTGAATTGGGCCAGCCACCATCGATTCCAGGTAACCAAACTCATCCCCTGCTTTTCGCTTATGTGCTTAGTGATGTCGGTTGGTGATTTCCCGATTCCACTTTTCTGTAGGCCAACATCATGAATGCGCACCTAGCCGCATATGCATTCGTTCTTCACGGCGAGTCTGTTCGAGCCTGCATATCGCTTGATC